GAGCCGAGCTGTGGCTTTGTGTGTGTGTGTGTGCGGCGCCGCCGGCGCGAACAGAAATGATCTATCACAATGCGTGAGTAACACATTTAAATATCTTTCAGAAAAGGTCTATCACAGCGTATCACAGTACCGCACTGAAATCTATTCCGTGCTGTCTCACGCTTGAATGGCTTAAAACACTTTAATATTTAAACTGACAAGGCTTAGTTAAAACACGTGAGAATGATAAACTTTATTGAGGAAGCAGCACTGGTCCGATTGTTCAGATAACGTTAGGTGATTAGTTAAACACTACGTCCTGTTAACAGCAGGAAAGCTAATTGTATTCGCAGGTGAACATAAAATGTGATACATACAACTGGTGAACCAGTCAATGTAATGCATATGTCTTAATGGTCTGACATAACAATAAAATGCGACATGAATGATGAAGCGTTGTCTGGTTACATCACCTTGCGCCTGGCATTATGAAAACAATGTTTGGGATACCACGATCAAAACTTAGCATATAGACAGTTTGATGTTGAATATTCATCCAAATTATGGTGAAAACCAAATTATTTGTGTTTTAAAATAACATTCGTGTGATCAAAATGTAAAGAAATGCTTTATTACTTCACTGGCCATCGGAGCGAACCAACCCCGTGACGTCACACGCGGTGGTACTGCAAGATGGCGGCGCCCTTGCTCTAAAAGCTATAACAAAACATCCTTTTTTCTTTCAAATGGTTACATTAATCATGTTTGTTATATATTTTTTAATCAAAGTGGAAATCACTTTACTAAAAATGTTAACTTAACTGACTGCTTCACTTCCACTTTAAAATGGCGTGCACGATTTTTCTTTACGTGCCAGAAAAACTTCATCTGGAAGAAGCAGCACTAAGTCAGCAGTTATAACACATCCATCCACTCATCTTGTGATGAGAATGCAAGCTCATCTTTTTCATCATAGATCAGAAAATGTTGCAATCGGCTGACTTTTTAAAGAAGAAACTCAAGATTACCTCCAAAGCCCTTTTGTTTCAGTTCCTCTCCTCGAATTATAGTTGGAGTGATGCCTAATTCATTGCCCACTGCCTTGATTTCCTGCAGAAGATTGCATAATGTATGATGAGCGGAAAAGCAATTTCAGCATGCATTTCTCACAGCAGTGTTGTTAGAGTTAACTAAAATAAATACATACATAAAGTAACAAATACATAAATAAGTAAAATAAAAATAACATTTAAAAATAATTAATAATTTTGTTAATTGAAATAACTCTGAAATAAAAAAATATAAACGCTAGATGAAAAACTTAAGTGAAAATTAAAAAATGAAAAGACATTTTCATTCCCCATTGACAGTTTTTTTTTTTTTTTTAAGCATAAAGCATTCAAACTGAAATTCGTTCAGTTTTTCAAGACTAAACTTTACATTTGCATCTCAAGTAAATGTATCTTGATTTAAGGATGTTTAGATAATAGTATTGAAAATTACTGATGAAGATATTGATTTTTTGCAATGCATGCAACATTTAATACCTTTTAAAATGCAATTTATTCATTTAATGACAAGGCTGAATTTTCAGCAGCCTGTCTCGGTCTATTTGAACAAAAATAGAGTACTAAGCAGTGCACATCAGTAATGGTGTGAAACGAGACTGACCACAATGCAGCGGTTGCTGCCGGCGGGCAGGCAGGTTCGGACGAGGCGGGTGAGGAAGTGTGCAGATGATGGGCTGTTGTGACGACTGACTCGTGAAGGAAGGGCCGCCACGGCTGCAAAACTCAAATACAGCGGGCAACTATCGGTAGGGTTGGGATTCAGAGAGGCCAATGCCGCCTGCCATATCTGAAAGCAAAAACAGATACCGCACACATGAATTAAAATATGTAGTGAAAAATGATAGTACCATGCTATATTATTTGCTAGTGTACCTGAAAACTAATCTACAGTATTAAGTAAAATAACATCATGCAGATCATCATACATTATCAATAACAGCAGGAAAACTTAACAATCCAGACCATCAAGTCTATCAGGAAATCCTGCACTGATAATAAATGTTCGCTTGACTCTGATTTGATCAAGTGTTTCCTCTAAACTAAACAACATGATGTGGCTGACTTGAGAAAAATAAAAAAGGTCTGTGGCTGTAGGACAGTAATGATAACAGATTTATGTAGTTCTCCAAAATATCACCACTGCACACGTTCAAGATTAAAAAAAATTATATTGCTATTGTTCTTCCAAGAATACCATGGCACTTTTTGTTAGTGAAATGCTGACTGTGAAGTGTGTCATTTTATTGAAATATGTAACAGCCAGTCTAGAAGAACAATGTGTCGTTAAACTGATTTTGTTATCCTGACGTTTCCATCAGTAAACGCAGATTAGCGGTCTGTTACATAACACTAGTCTGAAGAGGCAGATTTCTCTCTAACTTTAGCCGGTAAGCTAACGTCAACGTGTTTACAAGCTCAGTTACTTTTTATTTAACATTACGTACCTCTTTGGTGACCACCGACTGCAGTTTCCCTTTCACCTGGGTCCAGTTGATCTGTTGCAGGTTGGCGAGCTGGCCGACGATGAGGACCGGGCGGTTCTGCGGCTCTGAGTCCCCGGCAGAAGCCTTGAACTCGAGCAGTACGTTCGCCATCTTCCGCCCGAATGAGAGTCTCTTCAGACTCAGAGGGAAGATGCACTTTGACCTTCCGCTTCTCCTGGTCGTCTCGCGAGGCCCTCGTGCTGACCGCGCTATTTAATTATTTATTTAAATCTAGGGCTGCCGCGATTCGTCGATTCTATTCGACTATTCGATTGATAAAAAAAAAAAAAAAAAATATTAAATCCGCTTAAAAATTACAATTAAGCATAACTGTGAATTCACAAACGCTACGATTTAATTAAATAAATATATGCTCCGTTCACAGTAAATGCTGTTCCACAGGAACTGTTATAATTTAAATGTGTGAAGCGGCTCAAACTCCCATCTGTGCATGTTGTTGTGAGTTTGGATTTATTATAACGTTCATCTGGGAAAGCAACGTGCGCCATTTCATCAGATTTGTAAGGTAAATCATTTATAAATCCACGCAAACACAGGAGAATACATCATTATCTCGCGGTTTCAAAATAAAAGCTCAAACCCTCACTCTGAGTTTACATGTTTTGATGTCCACATATTCATTCAATTACAGTGGCTATAGCATTTCTGTCGTAAAGAAATGGCCAAATATTAAAGATTAAGTGGACATTTGAATTAAATGATGCTTGGTAAATATTAAACAAGTATTAGATCGCACAGTAATGTGTAAAAACATTCGTCAGGCCGTTGGCGCCCCCTGCAGGCCTTTGGTGTAATGCGTACTGTACATTAGCTCTATTCACTGATCTATAATAGAGATTCTATTATATTATTTTATAATTATATATAGATCAGTGGCTCTATTACATTATAATACAGTATTATAACAGTTTTGTTCAATTAAACCATATGATTTCTTGCTTTTGATACTTTATTTGAACTAATTATTATTTCCTCATTGCTATTATATATGTATTTTAAGTAAATT